GCCTTTATGATTGCCATCATCCTCATTATGGCCAAGAATCAAGTCCAAGTTCAATTTCAAAGTCTAGTAGATCAAAGAAAAAGCATTACATCATTATAGGTTGTGGTGTAATTGGAGGGTACTCATTTGGTTAGTAACTCAGTTACTCGTGATCAGACTTGCAGGGAAAGGGAGAATGGAAAATGATGGAGAAGAATGGAGTATGGTTTCATTTCAAAGATTGGGATTCAATAAATGGGATATTTTGGGTGGTTTGACGGATCAAAATTTGGTTGGAAATGGAGGGTCAGGAAATGTATATAGAGTGATCACAAAGAAAGGCAAAAAAGTTGCTGTTAAAAGTATAAGGCATGAAAGAAACGAAGGCCACATTTTGGAGAAGCAGTTTATAGCAGAGGTTAAGATCCTTGGGGGAATTTGGCACAACAACATAGTGAAATTGTTATGCTGCATCAGAGGAAAGACTACAAAGCTTCTTGTGTATGAATACATGGACAAACAATGTGTTCACAAATGGTTGCATGGAAAGAAAAGAGGCTTAACTACTCAAGTCTTGCAGTGGGAGAGGAGGCTAAAAATTGCCATTGGAGCTTCACAAGGGCTTTGCTATATGCATCACAGTTGCAATCCACCCATTATTCATAGAGATATCAAGTCCAGTAACATACTCGTCGATTCTGACTTCAATGCCAAGATTGCAGACTTTGGACTGGCAAAGTTGATGGCAAGCGAAGGAGATCCAGAAACAGCATCTGCTATTGTGGGAACCTTTGGTTACATTGCCCCGGGTACATTTTTTTTTTTATATCTTCATCACTTCAATTCCCACTTATTTTTATACTTGCATAGTCACATATATCATGAGAATGCAGAATATGGCAGTACAAGAAAAGTGGATGCGAAGAGCGACATCTACAGCTTTGGCGTAGTTCTCTTGGAATTGACAACTGGAAGAGAAGCCGTGCTTGCAAATGAGGATATGAACCTGGCACAATGGGCACACAAACACCAAAGAGAAGGGAACTCAGCTGCAGATGCCCTAGATGAGGAGATCAAGGACCCGCGTTATCTGGAGGCAATGATCGCTGTTTTCAAATTAGGCCTTGCATGCACTTTGAATTCCCCATCAAGCAGGCCGTCCATGAAAGATATTTCACAGATTCTTCAAAGATACAGCGAGAACACTCATCTGTCTTTAGAGAGCCAATAGACAATATAATATTTCCATTTTACTTTTGAATGCAAAATATTTTGCAATGGTTTGTTTAGTTTAATTTGACTATTGCACTCACATTGCAATTATGCTGGATCCTTCATAATTCATAATGCAACTCCACATTGTTTCCTTGATTTTCTTAGATGTTAAAGTGACAAATAAACTTTCTGGAGCGCAATAGTAACTGCATTGGAGTTCCAAAATTAATAATATTCACAGGAATTGAAACAGGGAAATTAACCATTGGAGGAATTAATGAAGCATGTTTACCTGTTCACATGCCTCGCTTGTGTCTTCAAGCTCGTACGATCAATTATATACACCATGATTGCATCAAGATATCAACTCTAGCAACATAGTCTTAAAGTCCCAGAGTCTGAATTCAATACTAAGATTGCAGGCTTTACAAAGTGGACACAGTTTTAAAACTGTTTATAATTATGAATATAAGTTCAAAAATTATGAACATAGAATTGTGAACATAATTATGAACACATAGTTTTGCAATTATGACTATAAAGATTCAATAATTGTGAATATGAAGTTAAAAAATTATGAATATATAACTTTATAATTATGAACATATAGTTCAGTAATTGTGAACATAGAGTTGAATAATTATGAATATGAAATTCAAAAATTCAAAAATATGAATATATAGCTTTATAATTATAAACATATAATTTAGTAATTATGAACATAGAACAGTGTCTACCTTAGCTTGCGTACCACAACATAACGATTAGTAATTTAGTAATTTGGCACAACAACATAGTGAAATTGTTATGCTGCATCAGAGGAAAGACTACAAAGCTTCTTGTGTATGAATACATGGACAAACAATGTGTTCACAAATGGTTGCATGGAAAGAAAAGAGGCTTAACTACTCAAGTCTTGCTGTGGGAGAGGAGGCTAAAAATTGCCATTGGAGCTTCACAAGGGCTTTGCTATATGCACCACAGTTGCAATCCACCCATTGTTCATAGAGATATCAAGTCCAGTAACATACTTGTCGACTCTGACTTCAATGCCAAGATCGCAGACTTTGGACTGGCAAAGATGATGGTGAGGGAAGGAGATCCAGAAACAGCATCTGCTATTGTGGGAACCTTTGGTTACATTGCCCCGGGTACATTTTCATTTATATCTTCATCATTTCAATTCCCACTATTTTTTAAAACTTCCAGAATCACATATTTATCATGGGAATGCAGAATACAGCAGTACAAGAAAAGTGGATGCGAAGAGCGACATTTACAGCTTTGGCGTAGTTCTCTTGGAATTGACAACGGGAAGAGAAGCAGTGACTGGAAATGAGGATATGAACCTGGCACAATGGGCACACAAACACCAAAGAGAAGGAAAACCAGCTGCAGATGTCCTAGATGAGGAGATCAAGGACCTAAGTTATATGGAGGCAATGATCACTGTTTTCAAATTAGGCCTTGCGTGCACTTTGAGTTCCCCATCAAGCAGGCCATCCATGAAAGATATTTCACAGATTCTTCAAAGATGCAGCGACAACAATCATATGTCCTCAGAGTGCCAATAGACATTATAATATTTCCACTTTACTTTTGAATGGACTTGTCCCATTACAAATTCTTAGCAATGGTTTGTTTAAAGTGACTATTGTACTCACAGTGCAATTATGCAGGATCCATCATAAATTCATAATTCATAATGCAACTCCACTTGGTTTCCTTGATTTTCTTAGATGTTAAGAGAAAAATTAAACTCTCTGGTGCGCATTAGTAATTATATTGGAGTTCCAAAATTAATGATATTCACAGGAACCAGGAAACTTAAGCAGGCAGGAATTAATGAAGTATGTTTACCTTTTCACAGGCCTCGCTTGCGTCTTCAAGCTCGTACGATCATGTCCTCATCTCGAACCTCTTCTATACGTCGCTGCTGTGACAACTCCGGGAGTAGGTGGTGGTCATGTTCCACCTCCGGCACCGATTCCGGCGACTGTACCACCTCCTCCGTCACCACCAATTTTAGTAACTCAGAGCCACCAGCTGCTAATTCGCCAGACAGAAATCCTTGAAAAGTGTATTGGATGCGATTGTCCTGAATTGGTATTACTCCAATTTGTATTAGTGGGGAGGGGGAGTAGTACAAGCAATGATTTGGGCATCCTGGAAAAATGACGGGTTATCCAGGTGATAACGGCTATTGGACTTAAGTGCTCCAATTGACTGTTTAATTGAATTTTTAAGTTTAAGGGTATAATTATATGTTTTTATAAAGTTTAGGGGTTTGACTTTTTTTTTTTTCTCCTGTAATTTAAGACAAATTAAGATGAATGATTTAATTATTTAAAGGAGCAGCGAGACCAACCATTTGTCCAAAGTCGGACTTAAATTGCTAAACATAAATGCTTTGTTTGATATAGTTTGTCTTAGAGTTTATATGAGCTATAAATAAACTATAAGTTCGATATTTATTTAAAAAGAATGATAAATTTCTTTTGAAATTTGAGTAAATACTTAAAATGGTCCTTCGACTATAGCTAAATTCACAAATTGATCCTCAACTTTCAATTTCAACCAATTAAGTCCTTTAACTTTGTAATTTTGACACAATTTGATCCTCCATCTATTTGACCGTTTGTTGACTGTGATCGATAATCTCCAGAAAAACCTTCAGTTCTCGTTGGAGCACGTGGTGGCCTCCCGGATGACGTTGCACTAGTTCGGAAACACGTCGTCTTCTTCGCTCTGGTACAAACTCAACTACATTGAATCCTAAGGGAGGATGAAGAAAGGCGACCGAATTTGGTAGATTGCTTTCGGCAGTGGATTCAAATGTAATAGTGCGGTCTGGAAATACAACCAGAACCTTAAAAAATCGACGATGGACCATGAAATTACATATATATCCTCAAAAATCACAGTCAACAAACGGTCAAATAGACAGAGGACCAAATTGTGTTAAAATTACAAAGTTAAGGACTTTTTTTTTTTTTTTTGAATGCACAAAGTTAAGGACTTAATTGGTTGAAATTGAAAGTTAAGGACCAATTTGTGAATCTATAGTCGAGAGACCATTTTGAGTATTTACTCTTGAAATTTTGATAAACTCATATTGTGATTCTAGTCCACATTTTATATTGTCTATAATTGACTTATTCAATCGAAAATACTAATAAATAATTTTGAAGTTGAATTTGAAAACTTAAGACTAATAAGTAAATTGCGGACCAACATCTTCTGAAATCTTGTATTATGGCGAAGTTGAACTCCTACTCCCAATTTTTATTCTATCTCACAAAATTTTGATGTTAACATTTTTATTGGGACCCATAAAATGAAGATAAATAACCATCAATTCTTACCTCAAGAATAAAAATCAGAAAGTGAAAATAAATAATACATGTAATAGAACTCAAAAAAAAATGAATCTTCGGCCGTTCTTTTTTTTTTTTTTTTAATTAATTATATTATTTAAAGTTTTATTTAAAAATTATTTTTAAAATCATTTTTTTTTTGGTGAGGATTTTTAAAAGCATTAACCGTCATTTTAAGTAAACATGTCTTTTTGAACATAATTACATAATTTTGTATTATTTAAGGATCTAATTGCATTTTTTTGAATTCAATAACTTAATTAAATTTTATTGTGGAAATGGATGGCATATTTAACACTTATATTCCCAAAAAATATAATACTGAGTACAATGGACTATACTCCACTATTCCTCCACCTATTAAAAAAAATTACTAGTCAAAGTGTGTGGTGTGTGCAGTCTTGGCATTTGACTTGTAATTAAAAATTGCTCAAGAAATGGCGAGGCTGTGGGATGAGTTCAATATGCATACTTGTTTCAACATTCAAGGATCAGCAAAAGAAGATGAAGGCAAACAAGACTATAATGTTTTCTTTCTCTATTTCTATCTGCAGCCAGTCAATCTCTGTTTTTCTCCTTCCATTTGTGTTGCTCATCTTCTTTCTTCCGCCATCTTCACCAGCTCCTCCCAATCACAATGGGCTCTACAGGGACTCGCAGCAGCTATTATCGTTCAAAGCTACCATTTTTAACCAAACACCATTTCAGAACTGGGTATCATCCTCCACAAATCCCTGTAGCTTCACTGGTATTACATGCAAAGGATCAAGGGTCTCTTCTATAAATCTCACACACACTATGCTCAGCATAGATTTTGGGATGGTTTCTGCTTACTTGCTCAGTCTTGAAAACCTGGAGAGCCTTGTGTTGAAGAAAGCCAATCTCAGTGGCTCACTCGCTTCTGCCTCAAAATCCCAATGCGCTGCTTCTTTGAGGTACATAGATCTAGCTGAAAACTCCATCTCAGGGCCTGTTTCTGATATCTTTAGCCTTGCTCGTCAGTGCTATAATCTTAAGTTGTTGTCTCTGAAGGGTAATAAATTATCAGGAAAAATTTGGGAATTGAGGTTTATGAATTTGTCATATTTGGACCTTTCTGCCAATAATTTCTCTGAAAATTTTCCTCCATTTCAAGACTGCTCTAGTTTACAACATCTTGATTTATCATCCAACAAGTTTAGTGGTAATATTGATGCCTCCCTTTCTTCATGCTCCAACCTCAGTTTCCTCAATCTCTCCAACAATAAACTCTCTGGTGAGTTGCCTGTTGAAACCCTACTAAATTTGACTAGCTTGAAGACATTGGTTTTATCATTCAATTATTTTGTTGGTGGCTTGTCTGAGTCATTTTCTAGCTTGGTAAACTTAGAGACCTTAGATTTGAGTTCTAATAATGCGTCTGGTTTGATACCCTCTGGGATTTGTAAAGACCCTAAGAATAGCTTGAAAGTGTTGTACCTTCAGAATAACCTGTTTACTGGTCCAATACCTGAAAGTCTAAGTAACTGTTCCCAATTGGAATCTCTTGATCTTAGCTTTAATTACCTTAATGGGAAGATACCATCTGGCCTCGGGTCCTTGTTGAAGCTTAAGGATTTGATAATTTGGATGAATCAGCTTGAAGGGGAAATCCCAAGGGAGCTAATGTACTTGCAGTCTTTGGAAAATCTGATTCTTGATTTCAATGAATTGTCAGGGTCAATGCCTGAAAGTCTCAGCAACTGTACTAATTTGAAATGGATTTCTTTGTCGAATAATTTGTTGAGTGGTGCTATACCAGTTTCATTAGGGACCTTGTCTAATCTATCCATTCTAAAGTTGGGAAACAACACCATCTCTGGGAACATACCTGCTGAGTTGGGACATTGCCGCAGCTTGTTATGGTTGGATCTCAACACCAATTTCTTGAACGGTACTATCCCACCCGCTCTGTTCTTACAATCTGGCTTTATTGCAACGCCATTACTTACTGAGAAGCAATATGTGTATATTAAGAATGATGGAAGTGAGCAGTGCCACGGAGCAGGAAATATACTCGAATTTGGTGGGATTACACAGGATCGCCTTGACAGGATTTCAATGAGGAACCCCTGCAATTTTACTAGAGTCTACGAGGGCATTACACAACCAACATTTAACCACAACGGATCCATCATTTTTCTTGACCTTTCTTACAATAAGTTGGAAGGCAGTATTCCAAAGGAATTAAGTTCCATGTACTATCTCTCTATTCTGAATTTGGGGCATAATGATCTCTCTGGTCCAATACCTCAAGAACTTGGAGACTTGAAGAATTTTGCAATTCTTGATCTGTCGCACAACCAACTCAATGGCTCAATTCCACAGTCATTGACCAGCCTCACATTTCTTGCGGATATTGATCTGTCAAATAACCACCTTTCTGGAATGATACCTCAATCAGCTCCTTTTGACACATTTCCAGATTATAGGTTTGCTAATAATTCTGGCCTTTGTGGATACCCCCTTGCTCGGTGCGTTGCAGAATCAAATTCAAGTTCAAGTTCTAAGCCTAGCAGATCAAAGAAAAAGCATTACATCATTATACCTTGTGCTGTAATTGCAGGAGTACTTATTGGGTTAGTAATTCTGTTACTTGTGTTCAGACGTGGAGTGGAAGGGAGAGAGGACAATGATGAAGAAGAATGGAGTATCATTTCACTTCAAAGGTTGGAATTCAATAAATGGGAAATCTTGGCCAGTCTGACAGATGAAAATTTGATTGGAAATGGAGGGTCAGGAAAAGTATATAGAGTGATCACCAAGAAGGGTCAGAGTGTTGCAGTTAAAAGCATATTGCATGAACAAAAGCAAGGGCAGGGATTAATGGAGAAACAGTTCCTAGCAGAGGTTAAGATTCTTGGGGGAATTTGGCACAACAACATAGTGAAATTGTTATGCTGCATCAGAGGAAAGACTACAAAGCTTCTTGTGTATGAGTACATGGACAAACAATGTGTTTACAAATGGTTGCATGGAAAGAAAAGAGGCTTAACTACTCAAGTCTTGCAGTGGGAGAGGAGGCTAAAAATTGCCATTGGAGCTTCACAAGGGCTTTGCTATATGCATCACGGTTGCAATCCACCCATTGTTCATAGGGATATCAAGTCCAGTAACATACTCGTCGACTCTGACTTCAATGTCAAGATTGCAGACTTTGGACTGGCAAAGTTGATGGCGAGTGAAGGAGATCCAGAAACAGCATCTGCTATTGTGGGAACCTTTGGTTACATTGCCCCGGGTACATTTTTTTATATCTTCATCACTTCAACTCCCACTTATTTTTATACTTGCATAGTCACATATATCATGAGAATGCAGAATATGGCAGTACAAGAAAAGTGGATGCGAAGAGCGACATCTACAGCTTTGGCGTAGTTCTCTTGGAATTGACAACTGGAAGAGAAGCCGTGCCTGCAAATGAGGATATGAACCTGGCACAATGGGCACACAAACACCAAAGAGAAGGGAACTCAGCTGCAGATGCCCTAGATGAGGAGATCAAGGACCCACGTTATCTGGAGGCAATGATCGCTGTTTTCAAATTAGGCCTTGCATGCACTTTGAATTCCCCATCAAGCAGGCCGTCCATGAAAGATATTTCACAGATTCTTCAAAGATACAGCGAAAACACTCATCTGTCTTTAGAGAACCAATAGACAATATAATATTTCCACTTTACTTTTGAATGCAAAATATTTTGCAATGGTTTGTTTAGTTTAATTTCACTATTGCACTCACAGTGCAGTTATGCTGGATCCTTTATAATTCATAATGCAACTCCACTTTTTTTCCTTGATTTTCTTAGATGTTAAAGTGATAAATAAACTTTCTGGAGCTCAATAGTAATTGCATTATTGAAATTCCAAAATTAATAATATTCACAGGAATTGAAACATGCATGCAACTTAAGAGTGAATTCTATTTTCGGTCCTACTGTTATAGGGCGTTTCCAATTTTAGTCCACCTTAATTTTTTTTTGCCACTTTATAACCACTATTATTGAATGTGTTCCACTTTTAGTCCCACTGTTAGTATTTCCATCAAGAGGCCGTGTAATCTAGGGGTATTTTGACATTTCTTCTCATCCAAGACTATGTTTGACTAAAGAAATGAGAACATTAAACCTAAAACCTAAGAAACCTCGCCGGCCCATGTTGGAACGAACAAAACAATGTAGGTTTGGCTTCCCATTCTCGTTGTTCGAAGAGCCATCTTCGAATATCGGAGGAGGAGGACGAAGTGCCTGGATTAAAAGAGAAGAGACAAACATAAAAAGACCAAAATACCCTTTGATTATACGGCCTCTTGACGAAAATATTAACGGTAGACTAAAAGTGGAACACATTCAATAACAGTGGTTGTAAAGTGGCAAAAAAAATTAAAGTGGACTGAAATTGGAAACGCCCCTATAACACTAGGACCAAAAATGGAATTCACTCTGCAACTTAACTATTTGGAGGAATTAATGAAGCATGTTTACCAGTTCACAGGCCTCGCTTGCGTCTTCAAGCTCGTACGATCAATTATATACACCATGATTGCATCAAGATATCAACTCTAGCAACATACTCTTAAAGTCCCAGAGTTTGAATTCAATACTAAGATTGCAGATTTTGCAAGGTGGACACAGTTCTAAAACTATTCATAATTATGAATATAAGTTCAAAAATTATGAACATATAGTTCTATACTTATGAACATAGAATTGTGAACATAATTATGAACATATAGTTCTGCAATTATGACTATAGAGATTCAATAATTGTGAATATGAAGTTCAAAAATTATGAATATATAGCTTTATAATTATGAACATATAGTTCAGTAATTGTGAATATAGAGTTGAATAATTATGAATATGAAATTCAAAAATATGAATATATACCTTTATAATTATGAACATATAATTCAATAATTATGAACATAGAACATTGTATACTTTGCAAGGCGGTTTCACAGCATAACGATTGATTGAAGTAAACGCCGGGTCATTAACTCAATTCTAGGTATTCTGGTCCAAATATGTTACACTAAAAGAAAAGTATTTAAATTGAATTTTGGTTTAGAAATCCGTTAGCAGAGTATGTAGACTCCAAGTCCAAGTCCACCCAACGTAATTTATGGTTCAAATCGAGCAATACACCAATCAAGTCATTCTCATAGTCAGGACTAATTTTTGAGGGACAAATTATAAACAAGAACACGAATTATAATTGAATTTTAAATACTTTGTACTTAAGTAGAAGATTTTTTTTATTTTTTTATTTGGTAGCAAATTATATTGCCATCAAATTAATTAATTAATTAATAATAAATAAATATATATATAAAAATATATAATACACGCACATATGTGAGTGTGTGTATTAGTTATTTTGACAAGTTATTTCCTCTCGCTTCTTTGGCGACTTATTCTCTCTCATTTCTTTGGCAAGTTCTTTTTTCATTAATGTGAAACGATTTAATTTATCAAGGCGTATGTTTATCTCATCTTGAGCAACGAACAAGATCTGAACCATGATATGCAGTTCAGATTAATAAAGATATTGTCTACGGACAGATGAGCTGCAATAGTTACTCAGGTGGTATGCAAGACTTCTCAAATAGAGTCAGTGTTGGATAGCCAGATCATTAACAACATCAAAGAAGCTTCAAGTTACTCCATTGAATTCAGCTTCAATTTTGTAACACAGTTTGCGATTCAAGTTTCTTTTAGCATTGCTAGGAAAGTTGTTTCTATGTTTGACTGTAAAGAATGTTTTATCATTTTATCGATTTTTATTGTAACTGTTTCAACTTATGATTAATGAATTAGTTCTTTATTTTCAAAAATAAAAAATAAAAAAGAATGATTTCTTTTATTTTTTTCTTCATCATTTTTTATTCCATTGTTCAAAAGTAAGGGAACAAAAATGGTAGTGAGTTTTAAGATTTATGAACGATTTCAATTCAATAGTAGTATAAGAAGAGTAGTCCTCATAGGGAGTCCAAATGAGATGATTCAAGTGTCAAAGGAAAGATAAGGAAGTCCTCAACAACTTTAATATTGAACATTTTGAGAGATTCCGGATGCATTCATACCAGAATATCATAACATTCAATTCGGACACGTCCTGAGGAATTTGTCTTGCAACAAGTTGATAGTGTTTTGATCATATCTCCTTAATATAAAGTCCAATCAAGGTGATTCAAGTGACTATGGAAAGCTAAGAGAGTGTCCTGCAACTTTTATGTTCAAAGTTTTTTCATATTCGGAACAAAACAATACCAAACTTGATTGCCTAGTTGTATTTCCAGTTTGTTTGGTGATTTAATATAAATTCTGTTCTTTGGTTTTAAGGAAAAAAAAAAAAAAAAAAAAAAACATAGCCAAAAATTAGACTCTGTTTAAATTTTCAAATATGGAATAATCAAATCATTCAAATGTGGCAGCTGTCCAAAGTCGGAGTTGGAGTAGGGAGGGCAGTATGATTGGTTGAAGCAAATCCTAAGGCTCATGTTCTCGACGGTCTAACACTTCTCCATATTCATTCATCTAATATTATATAACATCTATACAAAACTAATAAATAAATAAAATAAAGAAAAAAAAAAACCCCAATGAAGAATCCAAAATTAAAAATTTTAATCTCCCAAAAAAGAAATTGTGAAAATACATTATTGTTTTTAATTGTGAGTTTAATGAAACTATCTACCACTAACTTGTTCAAAAACTCTCAAGTCAAAGTTGGACTTTGGACAGTAAACTTCTTTGATATACAAGAACATAATAGACGAGAGCAATTGCTAGCTCCTTCGATCCTCACCATCTTATTATTATTAGCTGAAAATGGTGGTGCACCACCCTATTCATCATGCCTTCTTCTTCTTCATGCTCCTTTTCTCCTTCCCAAATTATTCACAATCTTTAACCACTCATGGGGACGATGAAAGGGCTATTTTACTTATCCTAAAACAACACTGGGGGTATCCATTTTCACTATTTGAGCAGTGGAACTCCATTTCCTCCCCATGTGACTGGCCTGGAATTTCATGCAACTTCAATGCAAGTGTCACACGGATATCTCTCTCTGGAATGAGCATCCCAGGATCATTCCCGGCCTCAACTATTATATGCCAGCTCAACAACCTTGTTTCAATCAATTTCAGTTCCAATAGTCTCTGGGGAACTATACCAGCTAACCTCTCCAGCTGCTCAAAGCTTGAAACCTTGGATCTATCCACAAATCATTTGGCAGGAAAAATAGCAGGTGAGTTGTTTTCCATGAAAACCCTGCGTAGTTTAAATCTTCAACACAACATGTTTTCCGGTGAGATATCAACACCCATGGTGGCTTATAGTTTGGAGTCTCTTGATCTTTCAAGTAACCATTTGAATGGATCAATACCAGATGATATAGGAAATTTTTACAACCTTAGCTACTTAAATTTGTCCATGAATACTTTGAGTGGTCCAATACCTGCTACATTGTTGCGGTTGCATCAACTCTCTCATCTTTCACTTGCCTCAAACAATTTGACTGGTGAAATTCCTGCTAGATTATTTGACTTGCTTAGTCTGAGTAGCATAGATCTTTCTCATAATCATCTGAGTGGAAGTATTCCAAGAGGCTTTGGAGAACTACATCAATTGCAGAATATTGATGTATCATATAACAAATTTTCCGGAGACATATGTGAATCTGTTAGCCATATGTGGGATGCGAGACTAACCCTTAGGATGTGCAAGAACCACTTTTCTGGGAGAATACCTTACGAGCTAGTAAAGCTAAAATTTGTGGACACATGCCTTGATCATGTGAATTTATGTTCAGAACAGCTGTTTTCTAGCTCTGAACAAATGGTTATGGAACTCCCAACATGCCCTTCCCAAAGCTTTTCGGGATTATACAATTCCACTGCACATAAACTGCAGAAGTTCCAATGAGCTAAGTAAATCAAACAAAACCCAACCTTCGAAACCAAATCATACGAGGATTGTAACTTGTGTCGTGATTGCAGCGGCAGTAGTACTCATCATTGGGATAGGAATTCTGATACTGGTGTTCAGACCTAGGGTGGGAAGGAGAAAACAAAGTGATGGAGAAGAATGGAGTATGATTTCATTTCAAAGGTTGGAATTCAATAAATGGGATATTTTGAGTGGTTTGATAGATGAAAATTTGATTGGAAATGGAGGGTCAGGAAAAGTATATAGAGTGATTACCAAGAAAGGCCAAAGAGTTGCTGTTAAAAGTATAAGGCATGAACAAAAGCAAGGGCATGGATTAATGGAGAAACAGTTCATAGCAGAGGTTAAGATCCTTGGGGGAATTTGGCACAACAACATAGTGAAATTGCTATGCTGCATCAGAGGAAAGACGACAAAGCTTCTTGTGTATGAATACATGGACAAACAATGCCTTCATAAATGGTTGCATGGAAAGAAGAAAGGCTTAACTACTCAAGTCTTGAACTGGGAGACAAGACTAAAAATTGCCATTGGAGCTGCACAAGGCCTCTGCTATATGCATCATGATTGCAGTCCACCCATTGTTCATCGAGATATCAAATCCAGTAACATACTCGTCGACTCTGACTTCAATGTCAAGATTGCAGACTTTGGACTGGCAAAGATGATGGCGAGTGAAGGAGATCCAGAAACAGCATCTGCTATTGTGGGAACCTTTGGTTACATTGCCCCGGGTACATTTTTTTTTATATCTTCATCACTTCAATTCCCACTGCTTTTTATACCTGCAGAATCACATATATCATGGGAATGCAGAATACAGCAGAACAAGAAAAGTGGACGCGAAGAGCGACATCTACAGTTTTGGCGTAGTACTCTCGGAATTGACAACGGGAAGAGAAGCAGTGACAGGAAATGAGGATATGAACCTGGCACAATGGGCACACAAATACCAAAGAGAAGGGAACTCGGCTGCAGATGCCATAGATGAGGAGATCAAGGACCCATGTTATCTGGAGGCAATGATCGTTGTTTTCAAATTAGGCCTTGCATGCACTTTGAATTCCCCATCAAGCAGGCCGTCCATGAAGATATTTCACAGATTCTTCAAAGATACAGCGAAAACAATCATCTGTCTCTAGAGAGCCAATAGACAATATAATATTCCACTTTACTTTTGAATGGACTTGTCCCATTAGAAAACATTTTGCAATGGTTTGTTTAATTTAATTTGACTATTGCATTGACAGTGCAATTATGCAGGATCCATCATAATTCATATTTCATAATGCAACTCCACTTTGTTTCCTTGATTTTCTTAGATGTTAAAGTGATAAATAAACTTTCTGGAGCGCAATAGTAATTATATTGGAGTTCCAAAATGAATAATATTCACAGGAATTGAAACAGGCAACTTAACCATTGGAGGAATTAATGAAGCATGTTTACCTGTTCACAGGCCTCACATGCGTACGATCAATTATATACACCACGATTGCATCAAGATATCAACTCTAGCAACATACTCTTAAAGTCCCAGAGTCTGAATTCAATCAGACTTTGGATTAACAAATATGTCAGCAATTGAAACAAATCCAAAAACATGCTAGTGTGGGAACCTTTTGTTACATTGTCCCAAGTATGTTTTTCATATCTTCAATTAACACTTAAATTTTTTTGATGTGTTCTACACCTAGTAGAATCACATAGCACTATACTGCAGAGTGTGGCAACACAAGAAAAGTGAATGTGAATATCAACATCTATAAGTCCTCCAATAATTATATAGAATTTCACCCAAATAATATTTCACCCAACAAACCCAAACAAATGTCACTCCGTGTAAGAAATCAAGCCAAACTCAAGTAAAGAAAAGAAAGAAAAAAAAAAAAAAAGTATTGATAGATCTATTCTCTAAATTAAAGAGCAAAAAATTGAGGAAGAAAAATGAATAAAAGAAATAGATAATTAACATAAACAAGGCGCACGTACTTAACTCATTTTTATCTATTTGAAAGTAGTATACATAAAATACATTATTTGAAAGTACATGATTTTTTATATATTATCAAATAATGTACATTCAGTACATAAATAATGTACTTTTAGTATATTAAAAATGTATATTGCATTCATGGTCCACACAATAATTTTCCAATTAATTTCTGGGTCACATTAAGCAATAGATTTGGTTTTCAGTCCTTTTAGCTTAATTAATTGTTTGAAAATGCTGCAGCTGAGCCTCTTCATCATGCCTTGTATTCTTCTTCCTCCATTTCTCCTTGCCAAATTCACATTCTTCAACCACTGAAAGGGCTATTTCACTTGGCCTAAAACTAGGACCATGAAAAGATTGAGAAACCCATATATAATATACTTGCAGAAACCAAAGATGAGGCCTAATTACACTAGTTTTCCCTACAATGCTTTCTTTCTCTATTTACACCAGCACTCAATCTCCATCTTTCTTCTTCCACTTATGTTGCTCATATTCACCAACTGCTCTCAATGGGCTTTACAGGGACTCGCAGTTGCTATTATCCTTCAAAGCTAGCATTTTTAACCAAAGCCCACTTCAAACTGGGTATCCTCTAAAAATCCCTGTAGCTTCACTGGTATTACATGCAAGGGCTCAAAGGGTCTCTTCTATACATCTCACAGACACTATGCTCAGCGTAGATTTTGGCTTGGTTCCTACTTACTTGCTTAGTCTTGAAAACTTGCAGAACCTTGTGTTGAAGAACACCAATCTCAGCGGCTCTCTCACTTCTGCCTTAAAATCCCAATGCTCTGCTTCTCTTAGCTACATAGATCTAGCTGAAAACTTCATCTCAGGGCCTGTTTCTGATATCTATAGCCTTGGTCGTCGGTGCAATAATCTCAAGTCCCTCAACCTTTCCAGCAACTCCATGGACCCTCCTGGGAGGGAGGTTGCTGCAGGTGGAGCAACCATTAGACTTCAAAGTCTTGATCTTTCTTACAACAAAATTTAAGGGCAGAACATATTTGTTATGCTGTCCCCCAGTGATTTTCCCGATCTTGACTTGTTGTCTCTGAAGGGTAATAAATTATCAGGAAAAATTCCGGAATTGAGTTTTAGGAATTTGTCATATTTGGACCTTTCTGCCAATAATTTCTCTGAAAATTTTCCTCCATTTCAAGACTGCTCTAGTTTACAACATCTTGATTTATCATCCAGCAAGTTCATTGGTAATATTGGTGCCTTCCTTTCTTCATGCTCCAACCTCAGTTTCCTCAATCTCTCCAACAATATGTTCTGGGGTAGTGTTGCTAAGCTGCCTAGTGGGAGTTTGCAGTATTTGTACCTATGGGGAAATGATTTTCAGGGGGAGCTTCCAGGGCATATTGGATATTTATGTACAACTCTTGTGGAATTGGACTTGTCTTCCAACAACTTTTCAGGTATGGACGTATGGTCCCTGAGACACTTGTTGATTGCTCAGCCTTGGAACTTCTAGATCTTTCCAACATTAATTTCTCTGGTGAGTTGCCTGTAGAAACCCTACTAAATTTGACTAGCTTGAAGACATTGGTTTCCTCGGGTGGGGTGGCAGTCATATGGGCATCTTTGTCAATACTAGCAGATATATTTTAATGGTTCATTTCCAATCCAAATGATTTGAGCCATTTAATTTGTGTTCTGTGATTCTTGCATTAACTGGAAGAATATCGGACACAACTATAGACTTAGGCTCAGACATTAGGCTATCCAACAAGAAGATATCTCAAATCAGACAACCAAACTTCCAGAATCAGACCTCTAAGCCACAACAAACACACAAACAGCCACACAACTTCACTGTCTAGCAAAGCAAAAAATAAGAGGGATATTACCGGGACCTCCAATGCCAAAACCGAGCCTAGAGCAGCGACGTAGAAGACCGGGCGACCTCGGGAAAGTAGACCGGAGTGGATTCCGGCGCCGGAGTGACGCACACGCGCCGGCGCGTGGACAGCCGGCAAGGGACGAAGGTGGCGCGTGAGGGCCACTCGCCGGGCGAAATCACGTCGAATTCAGCAGTCCGGCCTATCGGCGACCGGCGACTCTGCTCCTGATGGTGGTGACGACAAACGGCCGGCGACAATTCCGACCCAAACCTCCACCGTGCGCAGAAGCAGAAAGAGGAAAAAAAAAAATTCTGTGTTTTTTTTCTTTATGTGGCTCTTGATACCATGTTCTAATCTCTGTATTCCATACAATTGAGTCAAGAGGATACACATATTTATACTAGGCTATGCACACTAACTATGGTAAGGATCAATAATATCCCTAAGATATTATACACACTATCCTAAGATATTATACTGAGATCATATCAAATATTCTTCTACCATATAATGTCTAACAGTTTTATCATTCAATAATTTTGTTGGTGGCTTATCTCACTCATTTTCTAGCTTGGTAAACTTAGAGACCTTAGATTTGAGTTCTAATAATGACTCTGGTTTGATACCCTCTGGGATTTGTAAAGACCCTAAGAATAGGTTGAAAGTGCTGTACCTTCAGAACAACATGTTCACTGGTCCAATACCTGAGAGTCTAAGTACCTGTTCTTAATTGGAATCTCTTGATCTTAGCTCTAATTACCTTTGGACGGCCACCTCATTTGAATATACAAGAACATAATAAGAAAAAAGTCGGAGTTTCAGGTATGTTTAATTAAACTCAGTTTGAATTGTTCCAGGCCGGTCTAAATATTTGACACCTAAATTAAAAGTATCCAAAGTGAATTTTGGTGTAGATATGGACTGGGCAGATGGAGTTGCTAAATATTATTATATTTAGGATAATCCAAAATTTAGTTCAGATATGATTAACTCCAAGTCCAAGTCCAAGTCAACAACAATAGACCAAGTCAGACTCTTTCAGTAGTAAAGGAAGTGAGTGATGAGCAGCAAGCAATAGAATAGAATAGGAAGACCAATTCAGCTAAGCTAAGGGTCCTAATTCTCATCACCATTATATTACATTAAGAGCTTAGAAGCACACCTGGTCTTATTAATTAGCTTATAATTGTTTGAAAATGCTGCATCCTCATCATCATGCCTTGATGTTCTTCATCATCATCCTCCTTTTCTCCTCCTTAAATTATTCACAATCTTTAACCACTCATGGTGATGATGAAAAGGGTATTTTACTTAGCCTAAAACAACAATACTGGGGAAATCCATCTTCACTTGAGCAGTGGAACTCCACTTCCTCCCCATGTGACTGGCCTGGAATTTCATGCAACTTCAATGGAAGTGTCACACGGATATCTCTCACTGGAATGAACATCCGAGGATCATTCCCGACCTCAACTATTATATGCCAGCTCAACAAACTTATTTCAATCAATTTCAGTAACAATAGTCTCTTTGGAACTATACCAGCTAACCTCTCCAGCTGCTCAAAGCTTGAAGAGTTGGATCTATCTGCAAATTATTTGTCAGGAAATATACCAGGAGATTTATGTACAACTCTTGTGGAATTGGACTTGTCTTCCAACGGATTAGTAGGTGTGGTTCCTGAGACCCTTGGTGATTGCTCAACCTTGGAACTTCTAGATCTATCCAAAAATAGATTCTCTGGTAAGTTGCCTGTTGAAACCCTACTAAATTTGACTAGCTTGAAGATACTGGTTTTATCATTCAATAATTTCGTTGGAGGCTTGTCTGAGTCATTGTCTAGCATGGTAAACTTAGAGACCTTAGATTTGAGTTCTAATAACATCTCTGGTTTGAT